CTCCCTGGTGGGACAGATCCCACCTGCCTCAGCACATGCTGTCAGGGCACCATGACAGAAGGCAGGGATCAGGGACCACGGAGGAGAACCCAGGACTGGGGATCACAGCCGAGGGCAGGGCTGGGGATCATGGAGGGAGGCAGGGATTTGAGGAGCTTGGAGCAGGACAGGGAGGTTGGGATCCCAGCAGAGGGCAGGGAGTCAGGGACCATGGAGGAAAGAGGGGGGTTTGTCCCCTCTATGGAGGAGGACAAAGGGGTTTGGGATCATGGAGGAGGACAAAGGGGTGGGGGACTACAGTGTACAGCAGGGGCTCCCAGCAGCCACCCAGCAAGGGGTGGATAGAGATACCTTCCTACCAGCGACTGGGGCTCATGCAAACTGCTCATTATAACCCCATTCCCAGCCTGTCTGTCTGTCTTTCTTTCCAACTATCTGTCTCACTCACTAATCAAAGAAGATTGTTCCAAGAAAGCTGGAAGAAGAGAAGGAATGTCTCATTTGGCTGTGGCTTCCTTTGGAAAGTCTGGAAAAACTGTGGCATCTCGACGTGCATGAAGGTCTGCCTGGCAAGAAGCACATTTTCCTTCCAAAGCTGCTGTAAAGATGTGAATCATGAGCCGGTAACGCTCCTGGCAGTGCAAACCCCAATTCCACTGAGACGTGGTGCTGGCAGTGGCTCCGCTGTATCTCTTGGACGGAAAAGACAAACATTTATCATAGTGACATTGCTGGGGAAGAGCTGCCGGTGCTGCCGAGAGCCTGGCGGCAGCCGGATCCTGCCTGCGCCCAGGGTGCTCCCACCAAGGGTTCCAGAGGTCTCCCGAAGTTCCTCAAACACCAGCCAAGGGGTTTACTGTCCCTTTTGGTTGTCCCCCACCACCTCAGCCCCTAGATGGCATCTCTTGCAGGCATGAAAATAGCCCCCATCCAATTATCAGAAAAAGAAGAAAAGCTTTTGGAAAGGTCTGCTGGGAGCTGGGGGCAGCCCTGGTGCTCTGCCTGCTGACACTGGAGGTCCCCACCCAGTCTGTTTTCTGCTCTTCCCATGCATCCAGTGCTGGGGCCAAACTCCTTCCAAACCTTGGCCCCCAAAACTCCCTGTGCTGCAATTGCAAGACCCCAGTGGCTGTGATATGTTTATCAAGCCGCTCACTCTCTGTCCAGGTGGTGCCAAAAATCTGCCCAGCTGGTTCTCCATCACAGAGCTGGGGCTGTCGCTCTCCCTGCTGGCAGCAGATGCCTGACTGGTTCAAGATGCCATTTACAGTTCCTGGAGCAAACAAAACCACCTTCCCTCAGCATGTAAGTCCCTCCTTTTTAGGTCTTCATGCAGCCCCAAAAGCACCCTGGCTTGCACAGACCCCAGCCCTCTGGCATCCCTTCCCAGAACAGGGTCTAGGCTCAGGCTTGGAGTCGGAAGAGTTTCAAAATTAAGTTAAGGACATGTCAGACAGACACCTCCCACCTCAAACCAGAGCACTGAGGTCAGTTTGTGTCTGTGGAGAAACCCCAAATCAACACATTTTGCCCAAGATGTGCAGGGCACTGAACCAGGAAGGCAAGTAAAGCCATGTCCCGAAGAGCGTGCAGGGGCTTTGGAAGCACTTCCCTTGGCTGACACCAATGGAATCACAGGCTGGAGAAGCCATCTAAGATCATCAAATCCAGCTGTTAATCCTGAACTGCCAAGGCCACCACCAAACCATGTCCCCAAGTGCCATATCCACACATCTCCATGGGAGGAGGATTTTCAGACTGTAAAGGGGTTCAGACCCAGAACTAGGGTTTGCATGTGACGTTGGTGTTTCCTGGAGGAGACAGGGTGAAGGAAGGGGAGCAAGCCTGCTTCTGGAGCTGTCTGCCTTGGGGAAAGGAATGTCCAAAAGGATTGTCTGCTTGAGAGAGATGGAAAAAGCCTGGGTATTGGCCCCAAGGGATTACCACTTGCTTTAGTACGCCTACATGATATTCAGGGCAAGCATCAGAGAAGCCAGGGCATCCTGGAGCCCTGAGATGGGAATTTTCACTCCATGAGGTGCCCAGCAAATGTTACCTCTGAAAACCAGGGGGCTGGTGGGTGGTGAGCCAGGGCCTGGGGGTACCTCTAAGCAGAGCAGAGGCCAAAAGGATGACAGGGTGCTCACACACTGCTGTCCCTGGCCAGCAGCTGCTGCAGCCTAGGCAGCAACTTCGTGAATTCCCAGCAGTTATTCTATGGATGCCCAGCATGGACTGGAGCATTTGGCTCCTCCTTCTCTAACACATTCATTAGTGGTCATTTAATTACAGGATGCAAAGATGAGCTTTTCAAAATATTCATGTACCTGTGCAAAACTTGCAATGAGCAACTAGTGCTGCTATTGAGAGAGCGAGTCACGGTATCAATAACAGGAGAAATCTGTCAGCATCCTGGCAAACCTGCAATCCACCCTCACCCACATGGACTGCTCTGATCTGGAATTATCCAAGCAACCTTTTGGGGCACAGGGAGGGAAAATGGAATGTGAGGTGAGATGGTGGCAAGTGGCAAATTCCTACCCACGGGAGAGACAAGAGGTGTCCAAAACCACCTGTGTTCCCATCAAAGGCTGTTGGTGGGAATGGGGTGCTGGTGCCACCACCCCTTCAGCTCCAGATCAAAATCCAGCAGCACAGGGAAGGCCCTTGCTTCCTTGTGACTTTCCAGTGCCATTGGCCTGAGGATGAGAGTTGGTGGGGCTGAGCATGTAATCCAAGCACTCCCAGGGCAGGGAGCTGCTTCCCGGTAGCTGTGATTAATTGTTGTTAATATTAAATTCAGCACTTTTATCCAGGACGTAGAAGTGCTTAGGCAGGAGCCCAGCTCCATCCCACCTGTCATTAAAAAACATTGCAATTAAGCTCTACTGGAAGGAAATACAAATAAATGCATCCTCTGTAAGTGGCTTCAGCTTTCCACAGACATCTGTGTCCCCTGTTTCCTCTTCGGCTGGCCGGGCTGCTTCTGTTTTCCCTCTTCCCATGACCTATAAATTGCTTTTTCTCCTTAATCCTGCCCATAGCTCCCAAAGGTGAGGGCTGGAGAGGGAAGGAAAGGAGCCCCAGCTGCCTCTGACCCATTGCCACCAGTGGAAAGTTCATGTCAGCTGCAGCTGCAGCCCCAGCCCAGCCAAAACCAAGGCTGTGCTCTGGGTATCTGCTCACCTAGTTGGATCCTGATGCTCTCTTTGGTCCTTTCCATGGACAAAGGAAGGGGTGCTACTGCCCCAATATAAAGCATTTAACAAACTATTTCCACTTTGCAGCAGATCTAGATGGGATTTTCAGCAGCTGAGACCTGCTCCTGTTCAGGTAAATGGTGACAGAAACAGCCAAATGCTCCAGGAGAGCCAGCCCGGCCTCCAAGCCTGGAGGGCCCGGCACAGCCTGAACTTTGTGGTAGAGCTGTGCCCACAAGAACAACCATGGAAAAGTTGAAAGGTTGGGGGCTTATTGCATCCCAGGACAGACTTTTCCCATGACATTGTCCCCATTTTACTCCAGCAGGGGTTCTTCACCTGGAAAAATATGTCAGAGGTGGGATGTGGTGCAGGTGGTGATGGGTCAGCCTGAGCCAGAGGACACTGAGAGGAACTGTGGTGGCAGGGTCTGAAGGGACAACCTCTTCTGCCTCTCCCCAGTTACCAACAGGACTGTGATGCAGGCAGAAGTTGTGGTTAAAGTTTAGGGAATGCCAGGAGAAGCAGGTGGGAGTGACAGCCACATACAGCCAAGTCTGCCAGGTCATTGTGTGGCCAGAGTCCCCATCAGGTCCTTAAAGCCTGGGAAAAGGCAAAAAACAAGATAAGACTTAAGGCAAGGGAGCTGGAGATAAAAAGGGGCAGCGAGATAAAAATAAACCTGGTGTCAAGGACAATACCAGTGCCAGGAATACTACATTGAAAATTTTGGACCTGGGGGGATAAAGATAATGTGAAAAGTGTCCTGAGTGCCAAAGCTGGCTTTGGCATCCACAAAGGATGCTGGCAGAATCACAGAGGGTCAGGATGGATGGGCAAGTCAAAGGGGTCCATTTAGGCACACCAGGTGTGCCTAAATTTGGGCAGAACTGGGGCTCTGGCAGCTGGAGGTCTGGGATGCAACATGAGGATTGTGGGTGCTGAGTGGCAAAGAGTGGTGCCAACAGTGCCCACACCAGCCTGTGGCTCTGGCCACATCCCTGGGCTCTGCTGATGCAGCTGAGGAGGGAAGGTTTTGCTGGGATCATGGTGCAGATGAACACAGGGTTTTTCCCCTGTTGCTTGCAAACATCGTCATCACGTACATAAACACAAAATGCCAAAATGTGAGTCAGCCCAATGGCAGTTTGGCTCCTGCACCAACAGCCTGATAAATGGTGGAACCAGAGCTCGCAGAGGGGATTTATTCCTGTTTTGGGGGTTTCAAAAAGTTGTTTCATGCCAGGTACAATACTGCTGAGATATAAAACAAAAAATCAAAATTAAAAAAAATATATAAACCAGTTTCTTTTCCAATTAGTTGCTCTCTATTGATGAGGGGAAACCTTTTAGTCTCAGGTAGTGGTCAAACATATTTTTTTTAGAGAGGAAAGAAATGCAGACAGTATTTGCATGTGAGCCATAGATTCCAATTTTATGAAGGTGGGGTTTTTTTCAGTATTTGCTGAATAAGTTTTGTGGCCCAGTGCTGTGATCCAGCATAACAAGAGGTCCTATTCACACAAGGGAGCAGATCTGAGACCACCTCATGAATCTTAAATCCTGAGTTTCTCAGGGTTTTTTTTTCAAACATAAAGGATCCCAATGAGCCGATTATGCAGACCTTGATATAATCTTTTTTTTTAAAATTAAAATGCTATAGTTTAAACTCTGCTCTGTAAACAGTCTGGCCTTCACTTCTATCTCCAGGTGTCAATAATCCCATGAGGGTCAGCAAAACCAACCACAGATATAAAGTTGAGTGTGTGTGAAAAGTGTCTGCAGGATTGAGGCCAGCGATTGCAAAACAGTTTAAACTATAATCCTGCATTTTCATTAGTTTCTTGAAAAACTTCTGCTGTGGGCTTGAAATCCTTCCTGTTTTGTTGAGCCAAAGGTGATTTTTCTCCCCAGCAGTCTGAGCACAAACCTTCCTGCTGGTTCTATGTTGTCAGGCTTCAAAACTCACATTTCCCACTAAGGACATTCTGCCCTTTTCACTGAGAGAGCTTGACATTGACATCTATCATGTAAACAAAGCTAATTAAAGACAGTTATTACTTGCTAGACATAAAAGTCTTCCAACCCCACAGTCCTGTAGATTTGGCTGGCTTTGGTAAGTGAAGCTCTGTGCTCTCCCTATTCTGCAGAAACACTGAATACATTTCCAGCCTAAGAGGTTTCTTCAGCCCTGTATCTCTTTATTTTCTGTAAGATTTGAGGCCTATAAAAGGGACTTCTTTCAGTCCATGTGTTTGCCACGTCTTTGCCTTGAGATGCAGGAGGAGGATGGAGCAGCCCAGACCATCCCTGCTGTCAGCTCCATGCTGCAGCAGCACCCACAGGCTCTGGGAGCATCCTTCATTCCTGTGTGTCCATTTTTCAGCCTAATACATAATTTAAATAAGACCTCAGCCCAAACATTCTACATCTGCATCCTCTCCTAGGGCACTGAGCAGTGCAGAGGTGGTGGGCTCCAGGCAGTGGCCACCTGAAGCTTTGTTCCACTGGAGAAAGAAACATCCTCCCACGAATCTGTCACTGCTGTGTTTTGCCTTTTTGGGGGAAAATGAAGGCAGCAGCTCTGTGCTACTGAAGTTTCCATGGTTAGAGAAGCACAACTGCTCATCTAGGGACAGAGGTGGGCTGTGGGTTGGTTTACACTCAGGCTGAGGTTAGGAAGATGGCAATCTCTCCAAGAGCCCTGCCCACATTTCTGGCTTGGAAGAAGGAGTTAGAGGCTGTAGCAAAGTGATGGACGTGGTGCCTCCTGGTCTGAGCAGCACAGCTGGACGGGTGAGACAAAGCAGGAGGGAAAATCGGATAAAAATCCAAACACCTTCACTCAAAGAGTCTCTAAAGCAGCTCATTGGACTTGACTGTGAACTGAACTCAATGAAAAAAGGAAGCAAGAGATCCAGATGAAGGGAAAATTCTTCATTAAGAGCTTATATGGTCAAAATAAGGAATCAAACATGGCAATAGTTATTTGAGTTATAATACAATTAGACTTAATGAATATGTGTTACAACTATGAAAGGGGAATAGAATATTTTCTGTGCTCTTCAACAGAGATAAAGCTGAGGAAGGAATGGAAACAAAGATAGTAAAAGAGGATAAATGAACAGACAAAAGCCACTTAGAACAATCACTCTGCTTCTCAGCCCCACTTCCCTGGTGCATGGCTGGAGCCTTTTCTCTTTGGCCATGTCTCTGCCTCCCAAAATCACTGCAGAAGTGTAGAAAATCCTTCAGATGGTGGGATACCTTACTCTAATATTTTCAGGCAGGCTTCAGCTTTGTAGCTTATTCAAGAACAGGTTCTCCAGGTACCCAGGAGTTTAATATTATTAACAGATGTTTTGACTGAACATGTAAGAAACACAATAAGCTTGTTTGTTTGGTTTTTTGTTTGTACTGAAGAAATACTGAGAGGCAATTTCAGCTCCTGGTTTTGTATTCCAAGTGTTCTAGAAATTAATTTCCCAAATAAATAGACAAGATGTGGGACAGTTTTAGGCATGAAATCACACATAGTAGCACCATCATTACCAAGTTCTCTTTGGTGAATAATTAATCTCTCTGAATCTACCAAGCAACCTCTGAGCAGTTCTCACAGGTACAAATCATTCAGATCTTCTGGAAGCTGCAGTCTGGAGGAAGCCTTTGGTGGGAAATTGCTGGGAAGGGATTTTCCCTGACTGTTCCGCTGAGAGTTTAATGTGTGCCACAAAGCACAGGGGTGTGATTTTTGCTTACTGATGGTGGCTGTCGCTTGTCCCATTCACACAACTCAAGGAAATTCCTGGTTTATAAAAGGATTAGGGTCCCATTCCTAAATCCTGGTAACATTAGGCAATAAATTCTGGATTGTGGCACTTCTCCCTCTGTGACCTTTCACTGGGTTCTGTGTGCCACCTTGTCCTGCTCCCCAGCTCCCCCTTTCAACAAACATTTGCTGTGTTTTCAGTTCTCAGAACCACTATTCCCCTTCCCCTGTGGAAGCAAGCATTCCCTCTCACCTCTGTCAAAAGGGTTTTATGTACTTGCTCACCTACAACCAGCAGGACCCAGTCCTGAGTGGCTTCACACTTTATTTCCACAACACACCACAACTGTCAGGGCAGCACCACAGGTGAAAATGCCTGGAGGATGTGATAACCACCTTTGCCAAAGTGTTATGTTTTAGTGTTCTCAGCAACATTTTCTTCTTTTGTTTCCTCTGGAAATAGAACAAGGCACATGGCACAAGCATGCATCCATGCTCAGTTTTAAACAAGAGATTTTGGAAGGTGTTTGCTTTCACATTCAACCTGGTGGAAGGTGTCCCTGCCACAGCAGGGTGTTGGAAAGAGATGATCTTTAAAGTCCCTTCTGAGCCAAACCATTCCATGATTGTTTGATTCTATAAATTTCCCTGTATGAATCCTTCTTGTTTCATCCAAGTCTCAATCCCACCACAACAACAAAAATTTTAAGTAACAGCTGGTTCCTGTGTTTGTAGACAAAAGTGAAATTTTTCCAAGCTTGAGAACACAAAAGTGTGTAGAAATTGTCTTAAATACAAACTGAAAATTGATAGTTTCTCAATGCCTTCCCCTTCATACTTGTCACAACATTGCTAAGTTGCTAAGATATATCTGCTCCACTGAAGGAAGGGTCATGCATCTTTCTGGATGTCACCAGAGTTGCAGCCACACAGATGAAGTCCTAGGTATAGGTGAGAAGAACGTTCACTTCAACCCTTTTGGAGGAAAAAAAGTGCACCAGAAATCCAATATTCCTGAGTTTGGTTATTTTTTAACAAAATGTTGGCACCCACAGGGCAGAATAACAGATTTGTGGCTAAAATAGAGCCAGGGAAAGAGCAAGTGAATCTATTCAGGGATGCAGTTGGGAACACTGTGCTTGGCTCAGACAGCAATGGCTCTCACCAGATCATTCCCAGCCGTTCCCGGGGTCACCTTTCCATCGCGGATCAACCAAGATGAGGGATCAGGTCACAGAAATGCCCCAGCAATTCTCTTCTTCCTAGAAATCTAAATTTAAAAAGGGCCTAGTGCACACATAGCAAATGTTTCACAAAGTTTTACGGTGTGTAATTGCTTGTGGCACATACAATTCCTTAGCTGGGGTTTTCTGTGGATTTGCAGCAGGTCTTCTTCCCAAACCTGCAGTGTGTGCACAAGGTGACTGCACAATCCTGTAATTACACCTGCAAACCCTCACCCTCACCACTTTCAACTGAATAATCCAAAACAATAAATATAAAACATGTTTCAATTTGCAACTGCATCATTGCAAAAATCCAAAAATGGTAAAATTGTGTGTTGCAGCCTTCACACCTGTTGCAGAAATGACAATTTTTTTCAAATATCTGCAGTTTCCTCCACAGTAATGCAGGAAAATCCTGTGCCAGGGATCACATCTTTTCTGCCCATGGCTTGAAAGCGGTTACTGATTTTTGTCTGCCTGTTGGAATGGCCTTTCCTTGTGGAAAATAGAGCCAGTTCAGACACATTTAATGGAAGCACAGGAACAGTAGTTTGCTTGGACCAGGAAGAACATGACACCATCCTGCAGCATGCAGGAAAGAAAACCAGGAACACCCATGGGAATGGGGCATCCCAGTGCTGCTGGACAATGGGGGTTCTTTTGTAGGATGCCAAATACCACAGATGTTCATTTGCAAGAGAAAAAACTGCAGAGCTTGAGAAGGACAGATCAAGTGAATTCACATTATCCTCATTCTTCTACTTCTAGTCCTGACTTGGAGCCATAGAAAGTCCTCCTCATTTGTATCACATAGGACTATTTTTATGTGCCTCTTCACTGCCTTCCACCTACTCATAAAGTCCTGCTGATGACTTTAGTGTCACTTCCCACTATTTGACTTCAGCTCTTGGTCATTTCCCCAGGTTTTTTGCTGTTTTATGCTGTGCTGTAAAGTGGAGTTACCTCATGGCAGCAGGACTGACTCAGCTCTACCTTGGGAACGCTGGTAGCTGATCTCCTGTCAGTGTTTTAGAGCTTCTACCATGTTTTCTTGCCATTATTTCCAAATGGCTTCAGACTTTGCTTCAGTTTGGTTATAGTCTGTTCATTGTCTGCCTAATTCCTGAGTATGTCCTGAGAAATGGCAAGCAGGTGGAGTGGGAGCTTGATGCTGGGCTAGGCTAGGTGACATCAATGACTGCCACTTGTACAGTCCTTCTCCAGCTCTTTATTCCTTGGGACTCCCACATCCACACAGTCACACTCATAGCAACTCTAACACTCCTATTTTGTATAAGAAAGTGCCTTTTCACTTCCTTTTTTTTTTTTTTAAGCAGCAGAGTGCCATGCAAGTCCCAGCACTGAGTGTTTGTAGCTATAAAAGCATGTCAGATGTGGCTGTAAGTGCAGACAGCAGTGGTACTTCCTCTCTTCAGAAATGGAGCAAGTTTCTATTTTGGGCTGTGCTGACTCAAGGGTGAGGTACCCAAGCTGATTCAGCAGTTTGGCAAGTGAGGAGAACTTCTGGTTATGAATGAAACGAGCAATAAATTCAAGTTTGTCTTAATCTTAAAGAAATGTATATTTGAGTGAAGCCACCTCCTGGTGGCAGACATTTTGTCAGATAAGTGGAATATTCTGCATTGGTTTTGGCAAAAAGACCACTCCAATGAGACAACCATAAAGCCTGCAAGTAAAATCCTGGTCACAGGGGAGTCAGAGATTTCCACTCATCTGGACTGGGATTCATCCTCTCTCTTGAGTCACATAAAAAGATCTTCTACTGCTTACTTGCTTATTTAATCTGTGCATCTCATCTGGGATATGAAATCCCCTCAGTGATATGAATAAATTGAATAGCAATTTCAGAAGGATGAAAATAGAGAACACAAAACCAACCTAGGCACTGCAAGGAGGTGAGAATGCACCACCCATTTACTCGGCTTCCATGGGTTCATATGGAACAGATGTCAAAGTGATCTTCTGTTATGGAAAAATGAAATAAACATTGTTACTCCATCATGGTTTTATAAAGTATCACAGTCTTTCACAATATTTGCCAATGTTTACCTGTTAGTCTTCGAAAAGAAGCCAGAAGATTTGCTGAGTTTTGGTTTTCCTAAATGAGTTCTTTCACCTGGAGGCTTCCAGGATTCAAAACTTGCAATGATTGCTCTGCATGGCAGTAAGGATGAAGATACAGAAGTTTGTCAGAAAGTGAGATCTTTCTGTTTATTAAGGCAAGATAGCATGAAATGGGGCATGTGAGCTGTCTCCCTTGAGCCCCCTTCTGTCTGTGGATGGTCCAAACAGGTTTTAACATATTTGCCTCCATCTTTATGCTGTTACCAGGCAGGATCAATAATCCCCACAGTCCCCACCCATGGCATCCACGATGCCTGTTCCTTCAGGCTGCAAGCTCTTCCTTTGACAGCACACAACAAAAGCTGCAAACTTTCAAAGCCCATTCCTCCTCCCCAGCCACAGCAAGCCCTGTGGCATTAAGGCACGCTGCTGCTCCAGCCAGCCGTTCCCATGCCATGTTCTCCTGCCTCATGAGGGCGGTTTGGGAAGTCTAAAAAAGCATCATGTGGGCTGTCACATTTCAGAAGCCCCTAAATAGCTTTGCGTGCCTCCATCAGATAAGCAGTGAAGTACAATATTATGAATGTCAAACAACAGCTCATCATTACAGCTGACAAGGCTTGTTCCTCTGAGAGGGGAAGTAAATACAGTTCCACAGACTAAATGTCTATTTGGCGGCTTGAAGTTAAAAGAGCTCTGCAAGGAGGATTTGCATTTGCCCAGCTGTTGCTCTATGAAATATTTCCTCTAACTCAGTCTCTGAGAAAGGAAAACAGTCCCAGAGTATTTTGGAAGGGTGGTCAGAGCTCTTCACAGGGAACCAGCACAACCAAGTCCAGAATGAAGCCAGGACTCAGGAACCAGCCTGCATGGAGGCTCCCAGCTCTACCAGGATGGCTAAGAAAGTGATCCAGAGGAAGCATCTTCCTTAGAGGATGCCACAGACATGACCCACTCAGGTGCTGCCTTAACATGCTGGCTTTACATCTACCCTGGATAAAAACAAATCAGAAGGTGGTGGTGGTGAGGAAATAACAAATACAACCTCAAACCACTTCTCGCTCTCTAAAACAAATCTCAGTCACACTTAAAATGAATCCAAGCATCACTGGTGTTTGTGGTTTTCTGCTTCATGTATTTAATCTGCTACTTGAATTCAACAGAGAAAAATTTACACAATAAAAGCAAAGTGAAATTAAAAATTCAGTGTTTCAGGAGACTGCATGAGATCTGTCCCAGCCAGAGCTAATGAAATTGAAGAGAACTGTTCCTTGACTGCACATGCAGGGTGTTTCCATGGAACTTGATAAGGGCAGGGGAAGGTGGGGAGTGGCTGGACTGGTGACTGCTCCACCCAAAAGATCAAGTAGAGGAGCAGGATGGGAGCCTACAGGTTAAAAGTCTAATGGGAGCTCCTTGGGGGAGCAAGGATTCTGCACAACCTTGAAACCCCCATGTGAAGCTTTTAGTAAAGGAGGGTCTGACAAGTCAGATGTCTCCTTCCATCCCATCTCCCTCCTTCAAACCCATAAACATAAGCTGGGAATGAGGAACTATTTTATTAGTGGAGATCAAAAGCTGCCTCTGACCAGCAGCCAGACAAAATTTGGTATCATGTGGGTCACTCAGTGAAAACTTGTGATGTAGCCAGTATCTTTGATGTGATTCTGTTTATTCTAAGAACATACAAAGTACCACTTTATGGAGCCCAGGGGAACAACACAAAAAATCTGGAATGCTGGAATTTCAGTACCTCTTAAATCTCTAAGGTCAAATCACCCAGCATAAATCTTGCAGTTTTGCATAAAAAATATTAAAAACACAGGTAGTTTTACCTTAAATTTTCTGCCAATGAGGTAAAAAACTTTTCTTCTTTTCCCACCATGCCTTTGAATCCTTGGAAACTGTTGCACTTCTTTAATCCTGATGATTAAAAAATTCATCATCCTGTATGAAGTAAGAATGTAACTTAAAGTATATTTAGATGAATCAATAAAAAGGCTGGAAAGAAGTTTTAGTAAATTTATCAATTAATAGCCAAGCCCAGGAGGCCATCCTGCCTTTCTGCTCTGTCAGCTCAGGGATTTCTCTCTTCCCAACAGTGTTTATGTAAGAGCTGCATGGTAAGCAGCACTCCCTATAAAATATTGATCAGCTGAGCCATTAGCTGGAATTCAAGAGACAACAATGTCACAGCAAAACCAGAACAATTACTGCTATTGATTGGAATTTTTAGAGATTATTTTGATATTTGAGCATGTCAGGAAATACATATTTATTCCAAATAATAATACTAGGAACATATGTTACAGCATGGTTACAGGACATCTTTACAAAGGAAATGGAAAATAGGGCAGGTTTCAATTTCAGTAATTGTGCGGCCACAGATTTTCTATTACTATTTTTAAAAAGAGTATAGACAGTCATAGATCATTATGGCTGGAAAAGACCTCCAAGGACATTGAGTCCAACCTTTGACCCGATACTACTGTGCCAACTAAACCATATTGTGAAGTACCATGTCCACTTATTTTTTGCACACTTCCAGGGATGGTGACTCCACCACTGCCATGAGCACCTTGTGCCAGTGTCTGACCACCTTTCCAGTGAATAATTTTTCCCAATATCTGAACTGGTCTTGGCACAAGCTGAGGCTGTTCCATCCTGTCCCTGTTCCCTGGGAGCAGAGCCCAACCCTTACCCGGCTGTCCCCTCCTGTCAGGAGTTGTGCAGAGCCACAAGGTCCCCCCTGAGCCTCCTTTTCTGCAGGCTGAGCCCCCCAGCTCCCTCAGCTGCTCCCAGTGCTCCAGACCCTTCCCAGAACACTCTCCAGCCCCTCAATGTCTGTCTTGTCTTGAGGGGCCGAAAACTCACCCCGGGATTGGAGGTGCCCCAGCGCAGGGGATGGTCACTGCCCTGGTCCCGCTGGCCACAATGCCACTATTATTACATTGGCTTTATTTTACGGGGTGCTGGGGCCTTCAGAGAAGGGACTGCAGGAGGAAGGACGGCTGCAGTGAAGTGCTTCGCTGGGGAACGCTCACCTGGAAAAAAGTAAATGGGATTCAGGGAAGGAGAAGCCACAGCAGGAAGAACTGGGGCTGGAGCTGAGGGGATGAGGGGGCTGAGGGGGATGAGGTGAGACCAATTTGGGAACATCACCTGTGAGCAAGGGTGAGGGATGCAGAGCCGGGCAGAGGAGAGGGAGCTCTAGCACCAGCAGAGAGAAGCCCTGCGAAGAAGGAAAGCCACGGTCCATCTGCGAGGAGAGATAATGAAACCGAGGGAGCGGTGCAGGCGAGATAGCGTCAGCCATAAACAAGCGGAGAACGAGGAGAAAAATAACCCAGCGAGTTTGCAGCGGGGCTCGGGCTGAATTGTTTGGTGAAGTGCGTGTTGTCTGCGCATGGCAAATGTCAGCCGGTGGGGAGGGCGGCGGCGGGGGCAGCCCGGGAACCCCGGCGCTCGGCCCCGCGGACTGGCCCCGCGGACTGGCCCCGCTAAGGTGCCGCCCGGCTCCTGCCGCCCCTCGCTGTCCCGTCCCTGTCCCATGGACAGCACCGCCGACATCACGCCCGTCCCTCTCTGAGGGGACCGTCCCCGCTGCCGCCCGCGACCCTCGCACTGAGGCGGGAAGTGTGTGTGTGTAGGGGGGGGCGCGCTCCCGCCGCGCCGCCGCGCCCAATTGGCCAGCGGGGGCGCGCTCCCGCAGCCCCCCCGAACCCCCCCCGCGCCGTGAGGAAGATGGTGGCGGCCGCTTGAGCGCGTCCCCGCGCTCCCCTTCCTCCCCTCAGACGGGCGGGCGGGCGGAGCAGAGCAGAGTGGCTGCTGCTGCCGCCGTCCCGGCTGGGCGGGCGGCTGGCTGAGGGCGGGAGGCGGCCCCTCGTCGGCGGCCGTGCGGGGAGGAAGCGGCGGGCAGCTGCAGCCGACATGGAGGAGCGGTCCCCTCCCGGCGGGGGCCCGGCATCCCCCCCGCGGGGCTGAGCCAGCGGCCCGCCCGCCCCGCGCCTCGGGAGGGCTGCGGGGGAGCGGGGCCAGCGGCGGGC